GTTCCTGGAGTGTCCACTAGAGGCTGGCTGTATAAGCACAGGAAGTCACATACACACCCATTCTAAAAAGCCTGTTTTTACAGCAGAGATGAACATGTTTACAGCCTGGTTCAAAAAACCAAATAGGTGTGATTAGCTCATGTCTCGATGGACACACACTGTACGGGGGGTGAATGTTTTGCACTGTTTGCACACATCATTAAGGAGAACACCTACCTATTTGGATATGAATTGTTGCATATTAACCAAAGTCGAAGATACTGTTCTTGTTGTCAGTCTGTATGTTGTGTTATCAGTTTAGAACATTCCTAACTTAGACGTATGACTACTTACTTATTGTGACGTTCCTGATCTCTCAATGCTGAAAATGTTAATTTGACTGTGTTTTAGAGTAGGCCTATTGGTTAGACTGACTTTGATAGCTGAGGACAGGGCTGTAAACTGTCCGACACGTTCCAATAAACACATTAAAGTGACTGATAAGAGCAGCGATCAGTGAGGTGCCGTGTCTGGACAGATAAGACTAAACTGACTAACCTGCCACAGGAAGTGAGGTGTCATCAGCGTATAATGTGATTCAGATGATTCTAGGATAAGAGACTGGTGTGTGTTCATGTTGCTGCTTCTTTCAACATAAAATGGACTTACAGATGTCTCATTATTCAGCTCCCTATGTGTGTTTACAAAAAGATGTATCATGTTATCACAGATATTTAGAAATCATTAGACAAATCTACAAACTTCCACGGTAACGGTGATTACAGCTCTCAAACTAAATTCTGTTATTTTTCATGAAATTACAAGAAAACTTCCTTAGTTGTTTAAAAATTGTCATATCAATTTTAATGTTTGGGAAGCTGAACAGACTAGATCAACCCAGACAGGAAGTCAGATGTAGGAACGCACAGAGTATCCTGTTAGTTTCAAAATAAAACACAACACAGACAACTTTTTGTACATTCCATCACATTATCAACATTACTGTGGAAACACCGGGTAAGGAAAGCATCCATACAAACAGAGAGATTTTGTAGGGAGATGCCACTGCAGTAATGGCTGCTTCCTAACGTCTTTGGGTAATTCATCTGATTCGCGTTTAGGCTCAATATCCTGTCCATTACTGTTTGCAACTTGATGCTGAGTGCAGCATACGGTTATATCAGAGCGTTTCCACTGTCTGCTACAGCTTGGTTTTAAAAGCAGTAAGTCGCACACAACTGGAAATCAATGCAATGCGCTAAAATGTTAAGAAGGGAAGAAAAAGATATAAAAAAGTGAAGCTCCTTCCAGAAAGCCTTCATGCTTTGAGATTTTCCTGACTTCTTGGAATTGCATCACAAGGTTTTTTGAAGAAGTTTAGCTTGTCGTCTGTTCACAGATACGACGTCACCTTTTGATCCGTTGATGTGACACTATAATGATTCTATTTACTCACCAAGCTCTGGATTATAGGACTAAATTGGGTTTATACTATTGTGAAACTGGTTGGCTTTCAACTTTTAACAAATATGTGTAATGACGTTGGAACCACAACACTCTTTAGAGCTGCGTCCTGCTCAGGTGTGTTTTTGAAACCAGAAAATGACAGCGTTTGGTTTTGTGTTTCTTTTTATTACAAATATTGAGTATTAGTTCAATCAATCATTTACCCTCCTTTTGTCTGCACCTTCTCCTCTCACCACCTTGAACTTGACACGGTCTCACCTCTGTGCATACTGCTGATAACTGTGGTGTATGAAGGGAAGCAGCTCTGAGTTTACTCGGATCAATGCTTAAGCTCTTACCATAAGAAAGGTAAACAGGTCTGCATTGGAGGCGTCATTCCTGAGAACAATCGTTGGGTTCCTCCTCCTTGAGTCAATAAGAGGAGTCCAAATGTCCAAATCTTAAGCTTTTGTTTCATCACATGTTCAAGTAAAGTCATGCACCTACAATGAAAAGAACCAATCCCCCCATTATTATAACCATCATCATCATCTTTAGTGATTCAGTGCGTTCCCTTTAATTGTTTTATCTTTTTAATCCACTCAATGAACCAAGATTTAAAAAAGAAAAAGGCAGCAAGAGAAACATTACATAACTCAATTACTCTGAATTGGATGATGAGTGGTTAATAACTTACATTTATTTGCTCACAGGTCAGACTGGTATGTGTGGGAGTGATAGGTGACTCTGTAGGTTATGATTCATGTGCAGCGCCATACCAGACGGGCCGATGTGCAGCAGAGGAGTAGTAAAGTTTGGGGTGTGGTTCATACAATCACGTTTAACTGTATCACAGAAGTGATGGCGTTATTTCAGCCCTGCCTGATTGAAGCCTCAAGTTTAGCATTTTGTCATGTTGGTTTTTGGAAATGAGAAGGGACGATATCTGGACGCGAGAGTAGCGCTGTAGAGGAGTGACTGTTGGAAAACTTAAAGGATTAAAGGATTTTACAATCTCAATAGCTGTTGAAAATGTGAGGGTATAACCACACACAAGTAACGATAGATTAAAAGAGCTGTATTATCCTCACTTTCACAATTAATGATGTCAGTCTGGGACACCTACAGAGTAGTGTTGCAAGATGTGTAGCTCATAAAGCTCCTTACTTATCTGATACTGACGTCAGTAAAGTTCCTCATTTCAGCCTCTGCCTGAAACACTTCATTTTAGATACTGTCTCTTTAAGACCTCCCCTCCCCACGTGTCCACTCTCATCTGATTGGCCAGCTCTGTTTGCAGTGGACATGTAATGGCAGAGACATTTGAGTGAGCTTCCTTGTGGGCAGAACCTGATGTCAGGTTCTGGAAAAGTCTCCTTCAGAGCAGCAGGAAACCACATCCAGGGATTACGCTGACAATTGTTTATCTTGTGTTTAAAAAACACAATATTTGTATTAAAGCATGGATCAGATCTCCTTTAAATAGTTTTGCTACTATAGAGAGTGGAGAGCCAAAACAACACCAATTTACACCAGAGACTGTAAAGAACAAGGACATAGGTATTTTTGGTACCAAAGGGTTCTGGGGACTTTGTGAAGGGGAACGATCCACAAAGGAGTTTCCCCAAAACTAGACTCCATGGGGACTTTTTTCTGTCTGCATTCACACCGCCATGTTACCTACTCTGAATCTGGAGTAATGGTTATTAGATCCTGCAGTGCAAAATCAAAAAAAGGGGGGATGGTTCCAATAGTTCCTCGGGACTATTAAAAAGTTCATGCGGTCCAAAAATGTCCAAAGTCTCACTGACTTCACCCATTGGTTTCTGAAAGGAGGTTTCTTAGCCGGAAGCTAACAGTCGCCATATTGGAAATACGGATTCTTCCAAACTTAGATATTTATTAAACATGGACATCCCAATACATTGGACAAACTAGACACATTGTTTGAGTGCCTTTGCACACATGTTAATTCCACAGGAGGCTTTTTGTCAATCTATTAAGTGACAATAAGGTGGCGTTGGGACGGCCTCCTGGCAAACAGCTCCAACACACCCACCTGTCAGTCAAGTCAACCACATCCCTAATCATGCATCTTTATTCATAACTATGAGCTTTAATATTGTATAATCAGAATGAATTAGTTAAAAAATACATCACCTCCTGAATTAAGAAATTAGCTTTAGAGACCAAAACTGTTTTTGAACCAGGCTGTACACGTAAACATGTTAACTCCTGCTTTCAAATGGACATTAGGAGTTCCCACATGGGACTTCCTTGGCCTTTTGAGACTTGAGATAGCTTGTTGCACTTCCTTTCATTTTTCTAGAATTCAAGAATTCACTTAGCAGACGCATTTATCCAAAGCGATGTACATCAGAGAGTAAGTACAACACAAGTGAGGATCTAGAGAAACAACATCAGGAAGTGCAAACAGATTGCTTTAAGGCCAATCGGACACCCAGGTGCTGACAGGAAGTGACCAGAGGCAACGTCGACAGCAGCTCTTTAGAGTTCTAATCAGCACCAAAACCATCCTAAATATAATCACCATCATCATCATCATCATGAAGGTGGTGGGGTTTCCATAAAGAGCTGAGTCTTTAGCTTTTTCTTAAAGGTACAGAGGGACTCTGCAGATCGAATGGAGTTTGGTAGTTTCGTTCTACCACCGGGGGGCGACAGAGGAGAAGAGTCTAGTCAGCGTCTTAGGGCCCTGTTATGAAGGTTGGATCAGACGCTTTTCATTGGCAGAGAGTGGTGGGAGGGAGGAGTGTAGACCTGGAGGAGACGTTTTTGTCGCTGTTTTGTAAGTGAGCATCAGAGTTTTAAATTTGATGGGAGCAGTAACTGGGAGCCAGTGTAAATGTTTGCCTAGACTCTAGTATCGCCACTGTGTCCAACACAACATCCTGTGTTGACTGAGTTGAAGGATGTGCAATGTTGAAATCAATATTTAAGAAACTCTAAATGACTCATTAGAAGAAGAAAATGACTCATGAAACTGTTCAGCAACAAAACTTTTACTTGAGGAAATATTGTTTTTTCAAAGTTCAGGTTGTAAGGTAAACTCTGATCTCCACCCCAAACTTAAACACAAGAAGGATTTTGAAGGATTTTGACCTCCATCAGTTGAGAGGGGGTGGGGGGGGGGGGGTCAGTCTGGACACTTTCTTCATCTAAGCCACCGTCTGCAGTTTGTCTTTGAAGTCCAGCAGCAGAGGTCTAATTGTCCAGAGGCACGGAGGCTGACAATGTGGAGACTTTTTGATGCTGTTCTGCACATACTCAGTAATTCCTCTAGGTTACTCGTGATTTTGGCTCCTTTGACATCCGGAATTCATTTATCAATCAATTTCACAGTTAAAGGAGCAATATGTAACTCTTGACACCTAGTGTTCAAAATGGGTACTGCAGTCTAAATTCTAAACATCATCGTGGTGTCAAATCTCAATTCATTCACAAGAGCACATTCACACTCTGATGCACTCCAAACCTGCAGAGGGCGACCACATGCAAAACAAGTTGGTGGAACCCAAAATCTTGGAAAGTGCTCCTAGAGGGACCATATTCACCTGCGCACCCACTGGAAAAGCATGGCCTAAAATGTTTGGAGGTAGCTCAGTTGGCCCTCTCACCTGCCCCTGGAAACAGGGCACAACCACAGCTCCTGATCAATCAGAAGATACAACTGGTAGGAAAAACAACTTTGAATGTGGATGATGTCAAAGTCAAAGTCAAAGTCAACTTTATTGTCAATTTCAAAATATGCCAGACATACAGTGGAATCAAAATTTTGTTTGTCTCCATCCCGTGGTGCAATACAACCAAAATAAGGTAAAATAGATAAAATAAAATGAGGTAAAAATAAGATAAATAATATTTACAGTAATAAATTCTAAATTGTGCAAAAGGTAGTAAGTAAAATACAATAAAATTTAAAGAAAAAGTGAACTTGTGCAATGTGCAGTAAACTGAGTGTACTTTTGAATAGTTAGCTTCAGAGTTTTTAGTACAGAGTTCTGGAAACTTGTGCAATGTGCAGTAAACTGAGTGTACTTTTGAAAAGTTAGCTTCAGAGTTATTAGTCCAGAGTTCTTGGTGGTAAACGGGAGGGGGTTTCAACGTCCAGTGTTCGTGGGGGCAGAGGGGAGGGAAGGAAGAGAGGGGAGAGAGTTAAGCTTCCTGACAGCTTGGTGGAAGAAGCTGTTTCCCAGTGTGGTGGAGACGGCCCGCAGGCTGCGCTACCGTCTCCCCGATGGCAGGAGGCTGAAGAGGCTGTGTGAGGGGTGGGTGGGGTCACGCACAATGCTGGTTGCTTTGCGGGTGAGGCGGGTACCGTAGAGGTCCAGAAGAGAGGGGAGTGGGACACCGAGAATCCGTTCAGCAGCCTTCACTGTGCGCTGCAGGGTCTTGCGGTTGGCAGCAGTGCAGCTCACACACAGTGATGCAGCTGGTCAGGATGCTCTCGATGGTGCCTCTGTAGAAGGAGCACATGATGGATGGGGGGGGGATCGTGCTCTCTTCAGCTTGCAGAGGAAGTAGAGGTGCTGCTGGGACTTCTTGGCCAGAATAGAATTCAAGATCCTTCTTCTCACCTACAAAGCTCTAAATGGCCAGGCACCATCTTACGTGAAGGAGCTACTATGGGGGGTAAAGCCTTCAGTTATCAGGCTCCTCTCCTCTGGAACCGCCTTCCAGCCGGGGTCCGGGAGGCAGACACAGTCTGTATTTTTAAGAATAGACTTAAAACTTTCCTTTTTGATAAATCTTATAGTTAGTGCTGGTGTAGACCAGCTCTTAGTTATGCTGCTATAGGCTTAGACTACCGGGGGAACTAGAACCTTGAGTTACTGCACGTATCTATCTGTAAATCTCAGTCACTAACCACCTACTTTCCTGAGAGCTCTTGAGCTCTCTTAGGCTCCTCAAGATCGTTGGTTGACGGTCTGCCAGAACAAACCCCCCCCCCGACCGGATTGTTGATGGACGGCTTGCCTCCCCCCACCCCATTGCTCCCTATCCCTCTTCTTGCATCTTATCCCATCTCTCCCCCTATCCCTTTCCAACCCTGGCGCAGTCTAGGCCTGTGAAGGCTGTTTCATCATGAGCCGGGGATCCGGCCAAATATATCTGCCTTTTTAATAAGGCAGTTTTTTCTTACCACTGTAACTTTTGCTGCTTTGCTAAAGTGCTCATGATGGATAGGCCGGATCTTTGTAACATAACAATGAGTAAGGTCTTTTTACCTGCTCTTTTGTAATGTTAACAGACAAAGAGTAAGGGATTTTACCTGCTTTTTGTAAAGTGTCTTGAGATAACACTTATGAGTTGACGCTATACAAAATAAATTGAATTGATGTGGTGTTGGTTGTCCAGGAGAGATCCTCACTGATGTGAACCCCCAGGAACTTGGTGCTGCTCACTCTCTCCACAGCAGCACCGTCGATGGTCAGTGGGGGTTTAGGAGTGGGGGACTCTCCGGAAGTCGACAACAACCTCCTTGGTCTTGTCGACGTTCAGGAAGAGGTTGTTGTCTCTGCACCACGTGGCCAGTTGGCTGACCTCCATCCTGCACTGCGTCTCATCGTTGTTAATGAGACCAACCACTGTTGTGTCGTCCGCGAACTTCACAATGTGGTTGCTGCTGATGTGTTGAGGTCATGCTTCTCCATGACTGTTTGGTTGAGTTAGTGAGTAAAATGCAGTTTAAGTTGGACAATTTTGGTTCTGCTAATTTAAGCTTGTGTATTTTGTTGAAACTTTGTTTGTTTGAGAACCAAGTACGGTAACATCTATTCTTTAGGAAAACTTTGAGAGAAAATGTTTATTAGAATTTATTTGAGACTAATGCATGTCTTTTCTGTTTATCTTGAAGGTTATCAACCTATTCGATTCTCTTGTATTCTATCATTCTGTTTACATCCATTGAAACCATCAAACCCAAAACCATCTTCAAGAAAATAAAAATCAAAGAATGTCCTTTGCATCCTTCAGCAGTTGATAAAGCAGTTTTTCAAGTTTGGGCAGAGTTGTGGTCACAAAAACACACAGAACTTGACAATCTCCCCCCCTCCTCTCTAGAGTCACTCAGGTCACCATGTGGTGGACTCTGAAGCTTCAGTGTTTATCCAGCTCTGCATGGGTCTGTAAACCTTTCTGTGTTCTAACCTCTCTCCATTTTTCAAAAGCATCTCCAATATTGATCCTAGTTTGAGCACGTTTCACGTCCAAAACAGTCGTGTCAGGGTGCCTTAAAACTACCTACCTTCAAAGTATAAAATGTAATTTCCCCTCATGGGATTAATAAATTAGATCTTAATTAGACATTTTAGCAACAGTCTGTCATGGTCAGCAGTGATTGCTTATGATGACACCTGCTTCTGATTGTTCTGCCAGAAGATCTCATATTAGCCAAGTCTCTATCTTTTTTTTTACCCTGTTTTGTGAAATGTCTGCCTGTGTGTGGCAACTTGTACCAATGTTTTGAAAGGGTGCATTGTAAATAAAGTTAGCAAATTAAGATGCTTACGTTGATTAATGACCCGTTGTTCTGCAGAAACATTGTGAAATTCTCTCTTTTCCCACTCCCAAGTTCTGTTTTGTTTTTTACAGGTGTGGTGACACAGAGTGTGGCAGAGGTGAAGGACTGTACTTCAACCAAGCGACAATAATCTGCAAGAGCTTTTCTTAAGAAATTAGACAAAGATCTTGTTCAGGCAACACAACGTCAGAGCATACTTTACCTGGCACAGTGTGTTTACGGTGGAAGACGATGAAAGACTCAAGGTGTGTGCCTTGAGTGTTAAGAATAGAAGTCCACTCCGGTGTGAAGTATCTGTGTTTTTAAAGCACTTGGTTGATAACGTGATTATAACCATGACTGATAATTCACTTGTATATGGTTTCAGAGAGGTGAGCTTCCATCTTAGATTGAGATAACAGAGTCAGGCCTTCCTCAGAGCTCAGACTACAGGGGTTTTGGGACGATTTAAACCCGACTCACCCCTATAGACATTCTGGTTCCTACCAACACATTCACACGCTGATGGTAGAGGCCGCTGAGTAAAGAGTCCGTCAGTATTAACTCATCCATTCATACACATTCACACACTGATGGTAGAGGCCGCTGAGTAAAGAGTCCTTCAGTATTAACTCATCCATTCATACACATTCACACGCTGATGGTAGAGGCCGCTGAGTAAAGAGTCCTTCAGTATTAACTCATCCATTCATACACATTCACACACTGATGGTAGAGGCCGCTGAGTAAAGAGTCCGTCAGTATTAACTCATCCATTCATACACATTCACACGCTGATGGTAGAGGCCGCTGAGTAAAGAGTCCGTCAGTATTAACTCATCCATTCATACACATACTGATGGTAGAGGCCGCTGAGTAAAGAGTCCTTCAGTATTAACTCATCCATTCATACACACACTGATGGTAGAGGCCGCTGAGTAAAGAGTCCTTCAGTATTAACTCATCCATTCATACACATTCACACACTGATGGTAGAGGCCGCTGAGTAAAGAGTCCGTCAGTATTAACTCATCCATTCATGCACACTCACACGCCATGTGAGCACAGCTGCGGGAGCAATTCAGGGTTAACTGTTTTGCCCAAGGACACATCGGACATGTTGCTGCAGGGGATCAAACCCCCAACCCTCTGGTTGATAGACAACGACATACCGACTGAGCCACAGCCGCACCCTAAATTTAAGGTCAAAATCTCCACTCGGGTTCTCGCTGTAGAAAAGACAACCCATGCTTACCACTTTTGTTTTTTTCTCAGTGCAGAGCATCACTACAGCAGGTTGTAGTCGGTCTTCATCAGCAGACATGGATTTATGTCTGAGTTTGTTAGCTTGATGCTATCACATACTGGTAAATGCCATTAACTGGCTAACAAAATTAGCATCCCGATAGTTTTAACTTAAAATAGAAATAATCGTTTTTAATTAGCATACCTAACAAATAACACCACTTGTTGTAATGTGTAAACGAGAATTTCCTTTTTCTCCACTTCATCGTGGTACAAAGAGGAGGACACATCAAAGAGACATTCTTGTTGCTCTCTCCATAACTCCGCACCAGTTTCTCCTCCTTTACCTCCCTGCCATGTTTACTAGAGTGCAGCTTCCTGTTTGGTGCTGGCAATACCACTCCTATTGGTTGTCGACAAGACAAGAAAAAGACATAAAACACTTTAGATTGCGTTTTATGATCTCTTTCAATTCCCTTGAAATGCTGTTGTGTTATTTCATGGGGGCCTAACTGAAGGGCACACTCTCACTAGGCCCTGACTCAGTGGAATAGAAGTATCTGCAAGACCAAACCAACATGTTAATCAGCTTTTGAATTATTTCATAACTCATATTAAATGTTCAGCTGCGGTTATGACACATACTTTGAACATGTGTGACTGATCAACAGCTCCTTCTGGACATATTCTTCATGAGCCTTTTCACCACACAGTTACCTGCATGTGCACCCGCAACATGAGCTGACATGAAATTCATGGCAACAACTGTTTCCTCATTACTGGGATGCATTTCAACCCGTTGAGTCATCAGTGGATCTTCCCCTTTTGATCAATATGCATACCTGAGACTTACCTGAGAAGTTTAATGACGGTCTGTATGAATTTGCAAGGATTTTAATTTAGTGATCATCTGCATAACATATTTTTAACCTTAACATATGTATCTATCTATCTATATATATATATATATATATATAACCTTAGTTTTTGTGCTCTTGGGTCACAGCCGTTTGAAAGCCAGTGACAAATGATGGGAAGAGAAAAGGAGTTACTGGCCAAAATCTCTTAAGTTTATTTACAAACACATAAATTAACCAATTTAACAAGCATTGCGAGAAGTGGAAATCAGTTAACCAGTTGTTTAAGGGTGTATACATGAGTGAAAGATGAGTGAGGTGTGAAAGAAGAGCATTACGGAGCAGCCTCTCTCTGCGCACTGGACTCCATTGGATTGGAAACACTGGGCCCAAGTGCTCCCAATCCACACACTCACTAGCACCTAAGGGAGCACTCACACTAGGCAAAGTTATCCCGTACTGTCCTTGAGCACTGATTGCCCCCACTCCTCATTCCCCCGCTGGTCTGCACTCACACTGCTCCAGGACTAACCGGGCCTCAGCACGTTACCCCTTGTACATTATGTCATAATACAACACATGCATTGTGTAGTGAGTGCACACTAAAACACACAAACTGCCAATCAGCAATCAAGCAACCAGCAGGGTCGTCACAGGAGCTTTAAAACACAAATCTTATTCTAATCATGAAGTGTTGTTTTGATCAGGAAGCCTGTTAGCTCCTCAGAAATGTACTTTTACTGATTTCTGTCCTTCTCCTCACCTTCAGTCTCGTGAGCAGAGATGCAGAGGGCGTTAACAAGCTGAGCGTGTAAACGTGTCCTCATCTGCCTTCTGCTTAGTAACGCCCCTCCACCGCTAAAGAGAGAGAGAGAGAGAGAGAGAGAGGAATGCAGCGCACTCAAAGTCTTTCCTTTCCCTCATTAACAGAGAAGGCCTCCCCGTCCGACTGATTAATAACAAACACTGCTTACCTCTCCATTTCTTTATCTTCACTCTGATTTGTTTCTGTCTTTGTGCCTTTGTCTTCTCGTCGTTTGCACACAACACGGTTAAATGTTAAGTGGTTATACAGGTTTCTGCTTTTGTTCTGAGCTGCAGCCGAGCAGATTATGTTTCATTTTGTTGTTTTGTATTTCACTGGATGAATTATCTGATACAGATGATAAGACGTTCTGCAGAGCGAGTGGAAATTCATCCAATTCACCGCGTTCCTCTGATGTCTGTGTTAAAAAACGAGCAGCGTGAATACATCAAGGTTATCACTTTATTAGTGGGGTGGCAAAAACAGGAATTCAGAAAGCTGTTTGATGTTTAAACTCTTCTTTATTTCTGACAAAACAACCAATAAAAAACCTCCAGAATGAACCGGCCAATCAAAGCAAAATGATGCCGCAATCCCTCAGATGCTGTTTTGATTGACAGCCCGTCTCTGCAGGACTCGAGATCCTGCAAAGACTTCACGACAATCATTTCCTGAAATCCTCCCCCATGTAACAGTTTGTAACTTCAGAGTAATCTGAGCCTGTTTTATCAGGCTCCTCTAATCATGTCTGATTTGCATATTGCGCT